CAAATCAATCAAATGGCCACTGTTTGAAATTGCACAATGACAATTCAAAAGCTTTGTGACAAATCCTTCAACTTTTAAAGATTCATTCATCCGTGTAGTTCTAAAAACAGATGTCAGCTGTGTAATATCTTTGAATAGAACTGCAGTTTTAGGCTTTTTAGTCACTGCATGACTCTTTGTCTTGTATTTTCACTTTTAATTTCAACTTGCAATACTTACAACGAGCCTTAGTCGTATCCCCAGGCACTTCCACCACCCAGTCTTTTATTGTGTCATCATACAGCCACTCTTTTTGACATGTTTGCTTTACTTTTGGCATGTTGACCATTTTTTCAAAGTGGAAGACACAAATGAAAGTGAGCAATATAAAAAAAAAAAAGAAAATCACATGAAAAAGAAGCTAAAAAAGTCAGCATCACAGCTATCATTGACAACACAGTGATGACATTGACAACACAGTGATGACAGAGTTTAAACAAAGTTAGTTTGTTTTACGCGCACTCTTAATTATAGCCAGGGCTGCCAGATTGTTGACCCCAGTGAGTTCAAAGTTTAAGTAATCGCAGTTACTACAATGTGTGTGCCCAGACAAAAATAAAATAAATGTTTAATAAATATTTCATACAGTAATTATTAAACTGACACTGAAAGAAGAAATAAATCTATAAAATATCTAACTGCAAATGAAAAACTTCTAGAATTACATTTACCATCTAGACGTCAAAAACACCTAATAGATAGATGCAAGGGAAAATATCTAGATCTGGATATAAAACATCCAAAGTTACAACACTGGTTAGGATTTTTTTTACTAATTAAGAGAAGGAGTGAAGGCGTAGGGTTTATGGCTTTTGTGGATACATGTCACACAGAGAACAGGGATAAAGGAGAGAGTGGGGGGGGGGGGGGGAGAAACAGACCCACCCCTACTGGATTACAGGTTAATTAGTAACGGTTTTTGTGGTGCCCCAGTACAACTGCAGTACGGTTAGGCGGAGTTTTGGGGATTTGTATTGTTTGATTCAAAGGCTAGAGATGGTCCCTTGTCTCTGTCTGTCTGTGTGTCTCTCTGTCTGTCTATCTCTCTCTATCTCTCTCTCTGTCTATGTCTGTCTGTCTCTCTCTCTCTGTATGCCTGTCTCTATCTGTCTGTCCCACATCCTAAAGGAGAAAAACATTATCTTATTGTTGCTCAAGCAGATGCAAGTTCACACCACGGTATGTTGCGCGTGTTCCAAAGACTTTAAGAAAAGCAAGGAATCGTAACAATGTAACAAATCATGCATGCCATAAGAGGCAACAAAGTAGTTGACTTGCCATGTCATTGCTTAGGAAACTAGCTGCAAAATGTAACCAATCTTAAACAAAGTGTTCAGATGGCTGGGCGCCCTTAATCCGTGACCAGGTTCAAAGTGGCAGAAACTGATCAGAGAAGATTATGGACAGTATAACATCATGGCCACCTGAACCTATGGACGCAGGCCCCCCAAAAGGCCCTGAGTATGTTTTTCTGTGATGTATGAGTATGTGTGTATGTGATGTGTGAGTATGTGTTTCTGTGATGTGTGAGTATGTGTGTCTGTGATGTGTGAGTATGTGTGTCTGTGATGTGTGAGTATGTGTCTATGATGTGTGAGTATGTGTGTCTGTGATGTGTGAGTATGTGTGTCTGTGATGTATGAGTATGTGTGTCTGTGATGTATGAGTATGTGTGTATGTGATGTGTGAGTATGTGTTTCTGTGATGTGTGAGTATGTGTGTCTGTGATGTGTGAGTATGTGTGTCTGTGATGTGTGAGTATGTGTGTCTGTGATGTGTAAGTATGTGTTTCTGTGATGTGTGAGTATGTGTGTCTGTGATGTGTGTGAGTGTGTGTGTCTGTGATGTGTGAGTATGTGTGTCTGTGATGTGTGAGTATGTGTGTCTGTAATGTGTGAGTATGTGTGTCTGTGATGTGTGAGTATGTGTGTCTGTGATGTGTGAGTATGTGTGTCTGTAATGTGTGAGTATGTATGTGAGTGATGTGTGAGTATGTGTGTCTGTGATGTGTGAGTATGTGTGTCTGTGATGTGTGAGTATGTGTGTCTATGATGTGCGGATGTGTGAATATGTGTGTCTGTGATGTGTGAGTATGTGTGTCTGTGATGTGTGAGTATGTATGTGGGTGATGTGTGAGTATATGTGTCTGTGATGTGCGAGTATGTATGTGAGTGACGTGTGAGTATGTATGTGGGTGATGTGTGAGAATGTGTGTCTGTGATGTGTGAGTATGTGTGTCTGTGATGTGTGGGTATGTGCTTCTGTGATGTGTGAGTGTCTGTGATGTGTGAGTATGTGTGTCTGTGATGTGTATGTGTGTGTTTCTGTGATGTGTGAGTGTCTGATGTGTGAGTATGTGTGTCTGTGATGTGTGAGTATGTGTGTCCATGATCTTCGAGTATTTGTGTGTGTGACATGTGAGTATGTGTGTCTGTGATGTGTGAGTATGTGTGTCTGTGATCTTGGAGTATTTATGCGTGTGACATGTGAGTAGGTGTGTCTGTGATGTGTGAGTATGTGTGTCCGTGATCTTCGAGTATTTGTGCATGTGACATGTGAGTATGTGTGTCTGTGATGTGTGAGTATGTGTGTCCATGATCTTCGAGTATTTGTGCGTGTGACATGTGAGTATGTGTGTCTGTGATGTGTGAGTATGTGTGTCCATGATCTTCGAGTATTTGTGCGTGTGACATGTGAGTATGTGTGTCTGTGATGTGTGAGTATGTGTGTCCATGATCTTCGAGTATTTGTGCGTGTGACATGTGAGTATGTGTGTCCATGATTTTCAAGTATTTGTGCGTGTGACATGTGAGTAGGTGTGTCTGTGATGTGTGAGTATGTGTTTCTGTGATGTGTGAGTATGTGTTTCTGTGATGTGTGAGTATGTGTTTCTGTGATGTGTTAGTATGTGTATATGTGATGAGTGAGTATGTGTGTCTGTGATGTGTGAGTATGTGTTTCTGTGATGTGTGAGTATGTGTATATGTGATGAGTGAGTATGTGTTTCTGTGACATGGGACATTAATTTAACCAATTGTGACTAATGAATATAAAACTCTGGATATATAAACCACAATTGTGACTAATGAATATAAAACTCTGGATATATAAACCACAATTGTGACTAATGAATATAAAACTCTGGATATATAAACCACAATTGTGACTAATGAATATAAAACTCTGGATATATAAACCACAATTGTGACTAATGAATATAAAACTCTGGATATATAAACCACAATTGTGACTAATGAATATAAAACTCTGGATATATAAACCACAATTGTGACTAATGAATATAAAACTCTGGATATATAAACCACAATTGTGACTAATGAATATAAAACTCTGGATATATAAACCACAATTGCTGTATGAAACATGAATGCTTGAAAAGGCAGAATGTAAGATTGGCCTGAATGTCCAAATTGTTGTCTAACCCTTTAGAAAGTTCATTTGTTCCAATCAGGAGTATACAAATGTAAGATTGGCCTGAATGTCTAAATTGTTGTCTAACCCTTTAGAAAGTTCCTTTGTTCCAATCAGGAGTATACAAATGTAAGATTGGCCTGAATGTCCAAATTGTTGTCTAACCCTTTAGAAAGTTCCTTTGTTCCAATCAGGAGTATACAAATGGATACTTTGGGAAACATGACAATTTATGATTGAAGATATTCGAAAGTGATAATGGATGAGGCATGAAAGTAGTGAATTTTGGCACTGTAACGAGAGTCCTCCTAATGCTGATCCAGTAATTTCTGACTGCTTTAGTCACTGGTAGTGTCCTATCTGCAGAATGTGGTCTGCTGTTTAATGGTACTCTAACATAAGATCATTTGTTGATACAATAATTTCTGACTGCAATGTTCTGCCTAATAGTACTGTAGCTTGAGAGAATGTATTCTATTTATTATTGATAGAATAACTACTGACTGCTTCAGTAACCAGTGCGGGAGTTGCTGTGGCCGGGTGGCTAGACGCTCACATGCAGATCAGAAGGTTGTGGGTTCCCTCCCTGGTGCAGCCGGACTTTTAAAAAAAAATGCCCTTGACTTCCAGGTCGACCCAGCCTTGAGTGGGTACAGGGTGCAGTCCCGGGAAATAAAGGCGGCAGCGTGATGCTGACCACATCACCTATCTTATGCCGATTGGTCTATAAAAATATAGGTCTAGCCCTATATGCCCTATACGCCTAAGGGCTTGGAAAAGGGTCCTTTACTTTTCAACAACCAGTATGTTCTGAACCCAGAATTTGGCTTCCTGTCTATTGGTACTGTCACTTTAAAGAACAAAGTGAAGTCAAGATCCACTTACACACCAGTGGGATATCGGACATATGAGGCTAAGCTCACATTTGTATAGACCAGTCAGCCCTTGATGGGCTAGCTGGTCAACATCAAGCCAGCCACCTTTACTTCCTTTTCCAAGACTTTGACCTGATACCCATTTCAGGTTGTGAGACCTGCCGTAACAAAATCATTGACTGTTATTGTTTATAGAATCATTTCTGACTGTTTCAGTAACCAGCATGTTCTTTCTCTAGAGTAGGGCCTCTTGTGTAAGGTTACTGTAACTAAAGATAATTTATTGACCCAGTGATGTCTGACTGCAACGGTTTGTCCCCAGAATGTGGCCTCTTGTGTAAGGTTACTGAAACTTTAGATAATTTATTGACCCAGTGATGTCTGACTGAAACGGTTTGTCCCCAGAATGTGGCCTCTTGTGTAAGGTTACTGTAACTTTAGATAATTTATTGACCCAGTGATGTCTGCCTGAAACGGTTTGTCCCCAGAATGTGGCCTCTTGTGTAAGGTTACTGTAACTTTAGATAATTTATTGACCCAGTGATGTCTGACTGAAACGGTTTGTCCCCAGAATGTGGCCTCTTCTGTAAGTTTACTGTAACTACGAATAATTTATTGACCCAGTAATGTCTGACTGAAACGGTTTGTCCCCAGAATGTGGCCTCTTGTGCAAGTTCCTTACCTTGGGTGTGACGGCCTCCATCTTCATCTCCGTGGGGAGCATCGTGATTCTCATGTCATGTCTGCTGGCTGTCGTCTGTTGCTGCCGCAAGTGGTTGTGCCGGAAACCTCAAGACGTATCCTCATTTGGACCCACAAGCACCACAACTGCAGGTGTGGTTGCCAACGGCGGGGGAAGTGTTGTTGGTAGTGATATAGCTGGAATATGTCCAGGTAGGTAACATTGCATCTTCTCCATTGTTTTCAGTCAAGCGGCAAGGCGTGATAATTTTGCATGTGTAAGCGGTTGAGACAAAGTGTTAGCAGGTAAGGGTTACACTGCAGACAGTATCACTAGTATTTTCTCTTTTTTGTTGCCGCTGTTGAGAGTAATAGTGCACAACTATGATTGTAGCATTATTAACTGGTAGCACTTACGTTTTACAGTTTGGGCACGAGTGACATAAGCTATGTTAATACTCTTAAGATGCTTCACAAGACAAAATTGAATGGCTTATTTGTAATAATAAGTCAACAGTCATAATGAGTCAACAGTCATAATGAGTCAACAGTCATAATGAGTCAACAGTCATAATGAGTCAACAGTCATAATAAATCATGCAGTTTTATTACAGCTGTTGCATGCATACCCATTCAGTCACTGAATCAATCAGTCAGTCATTAAATAAATCAGTCGGCCATTGAATCAGTCAGTAGTCACTGGATCAATCAGTCAGTCATTGAATAAGTCAGTCACTGAAACAGTCAGTCACTGAATCAATAAGTCAGTCATTGAATCAATCAGTCAATTACTGAATCAGTCACTGGATCAACCAGTCAGTCACTGAAGTAGTCACTGTATCAATCAGTTACTCATTGAATCAATCAGTCAATCATTGAGTCAGACACACTCATTAAATCAATCAGTCAGTCATTAAATCAATCAGTCATTGAATCAGTCTGTCAGTCATTAAATCAATCACTCTAACACTGAATTATTCAGTTAGACATTTAATTAATCAGTCAGACACTGAATCAATCAGTCAGTCACTGAATCAATCAGTTAGTCACTGGATCAGTCAGTCAGTCAGTCACTGGATTAGTTAGTCATTAAATTAATCAGTTAGCCATTAAAATAATCAGACAGTCATTAAATCAGTCAGTCAATCATTGAGTCAGTCAGCTAGTCACTGATTTAATCAGTCAGTCATCAAATCAATCACTCAAACACTGAATAAATCAGATAGACACTAAATAAACCAGATAGTCACTTAATCAGTCAGTCCCTTTATCAATAAGCTAGTCAATGAATCAATCAGTCAGTCAATAAATCAGTCAATCAGACACTGACTTAATCAGTCACACATTGAATCAATTAGTCAGTCACTGAATCAATCAGTCAGTAATTGAATCAATCAGTAACTCATTCATATAGCCATTTAATCAGTCAGTCAGTCACTGAATAGATCAGTCAGTCATTGAATCAATCAGTCAGCTATTGAATCAATCAGTCTGTCACTGATCAGTCAGTCTGTCACTGCATCAGTCAGTCAATCATTGAATCAGTTAGTCACTGAATCAGTCAGTCACTGGATCATTCAGTCAGTCATTGAATCAATCAGTCAGCCATTGAATCAGTCAATCAGTAACTGAATCAATCAGTCAGCATTTAAATAAATCAATCAGTCACTGAATCAATCAGTCAGACACTGAATCAATCAGTGAGTCAATGAATCAATCAGTCAGTCATTGAATCAATCAGTCAGTCACTAAATCAATCAGTCATCCATTAAATCAGTCAGTCAGCTATTTAATCAGTCAGTCAGCCATTCAATCAGTCAGTCAGTCCCCCTGTGTGGAGTCTGAGGTCCCATCTTGTTCAGAAGAAAATAAGTCAGTGATCCGGGGATGTACAGGAGAGTTGAGAAATACTTGAGCAATGTATGTATCATAAAATACTCTCAGCAAGGCTATTAATTATTTAAAAGGGTATTTTTGTGGTTTACAGCTAGGCTGCAGTATCTGCTAGTGGATGGTTTCAAGTGGCTATAGGGTGTAATGTTACCAGCAGTGGAAAGCAGCGAGGAAATTTTAGTGAGAAGAAATCTGATGACACACCTCTGATTAAGGTTTGAATCGTAGCCTATCCTTCAAAGAACATGTTGACCATGTCATAAGAAAAGCACGCAAAGGCCTGTCAGCAATGAGGGTCCTGGCCGCCGCTAACACTGAGCAGAGACTGCTTCTGCTTTTGTTCCAGGGACTTGTACTTTCTCCCATCGAATATGCTTTGCCATCCTCACTGTCAGCCATACTCAAATTGAAAGACTTGATAAGGTTCATAATGAAGCAATGCGCATTATTCTGGGGTTTACTGGAGACACTTCTTGACTTCCCTACCATGAACTACAGGATCAAGATCTGGAGAGCTTGTGCATACCTCAAGATAAGCTCAGATCTGAAGTACCTTTTGCACCACATGCTCTTCAAGAAAAAGGGCAATAGGCTCAAAATGGGCAAATCATGGCTGGGTAGGGCAGAGGATGACATCATGCAGGTTTGCAGCCTTACAGACATCCATCCAGGTGAGGAATGAATACCAGCATCTAAAGCATCTAGTCTCAACTTCTTCTGTGTTGTGATGCTCGACAGGAGTTGTCGGGAGCAGAATCCTGCTGCTGTCAATGCCGAGGTATGCGTGCTTATCAGTGACAAGTCAGATGGGACAGATGTGGTGATCTTCACAGACAGGTCTGTTGTACGAGAACATAAGAGTGCATGGGCATTTACAGCTCGCTCTTCAGGCAGAACAGTTTAAGAAGTCAGCGGTGCCTTCTCCATGACCACCAGCAGCATGACGATGGAGGTGATGGCCAGCAGTGACACAGGCTTTCATGTGGCTGGGATCACAGGACTATTCCCGCGTGTGTGTGCTGAGTGACACTTTGAGCATGATCCGGCGGGTCGAGGCAAGCTGGTTACACAGACATTGGTTTGAATCATTGCAAAACTCTCTTGTGTGTGCAGTTACCTTCATATTCGTCCCAGGGCATGCAGGTGTTGTTGGTAATTAAAAAGCTGATAGACTGGCAGGTGCGATAGGACGTTCTGAGGATTTTGGTAACAACGTGTCCACATCACTGCTAAGAATACCCTAATTGGGAGTAAAGATTGACACAGCCAAGCATGAGAAGCACACCGGACGCACACAAAGTCTTGTTAACCAACATAGGACTGTCACTATTAACCACACTATGCTGATGACTATTTTGAGAGTGAAACCTGAGGGCCTATGGATGTGTTCTGTGAAGATAATCTAACTCATAACTCAATGTTTAATATAATAAAATATCAACTGCCTCCTTCTAAGCATGGCTAAATAGTGACTAATTACAGTTTTACTGAAATCGGTTGTGTACGATATTGCAGCTTAGTTGTAAATCATGACACAGTGTATCAGCTGCCCTTCTAAAGGCAAATTCGAAAGAAAAAGAAATAGCCACTCAGGGTCCATATCCTGGTTATGTGTTCGTTTGCAGCTAGGCTGTGATGTCTGAACCTTGCAGCCTAACTGGAGATGTCAAGAACAAAAACTGTCAGAGAGTCTCGAAATTGGTAGTCCCTTGAGATGTCAGAGAATCTCAAAGTTGGTTGTCCCTTGAGATGTCAGAGAATCTCAAAGTTGGTTATTCCTTGAGATGTCAGAGAATCTTGAAGTTGGTTATCCCTTGAGATGTCAGAGAATCTCAAAGTTGGTTATCCCTTGAGATGTCAGAGAATCTCGAAGTTGGTAGTCCCTTGAGATGTCAGAGAATCTTGAAGTTGGTAGTCCCTTGAGGTGTCAGATAATCTCGAAGTTGGTAGTCCCTTGAGATGTCAGAGAATCTCGAAGTTGGTAGTCCCTTGAGATGTCAGAGAATCTCGAAGTTGGTAGTCCCTTGAGATGCAGAGTTATGAAACCCTGAAGTGGGGAAGAAATGAAATAGAACTGTCTGACCATACACTGCCACACCAATGGCCCTCAGGTATCTACGTGTAAATTACCGTATGAAACTATAGCAGACATGGAATTCCACTGCAGAAGCAGAGTACTAATTTTGTGTAGGTAATTAAAATCCCAGGTCTGCAGGCTTCTAAAAACGTAACCTGTGATAAATAAGAAGTTTAAAATACGAAAATGAGGTTTACCAGTCATAAACAGGATGTGACAATACCTTGGGCAAGCCAAGTACCAGAGCACCATGTATTGGTTCTGCATTTATGTAAACCTCCTTGGATGGTGGGCAGTGCTCATATTCTGCCCCTGCCTTCTCTTGTGTGCTGACCAGCATTATGTGGCTGTTTAGGACCGGCATGTTGGGGGAGGGGGGAAGAGGCACTACCTGTGACCTAGGAAACCAAGTTGACCGCACAGTCATGAAATCGCAATGTCCCACGCAAACTAACCGGAAAGGTAACACAGGCGACAAATGCCTGCAGAAGTATTGGCATCTATTATAATGAGACCTTACAACAAATCATCACACATATATTATAAAGAGACCTTACAACAAATCATCACAATACATGTGTTATATACACTTTATTCTAATGTCAAATCAGTATTGTTGTATGGAGCAGAACATATAGAACAACTAAGGCAATTAATAAACTTCAGACATTCATTAACGGGTGACTGTGCAGAATAGAGGTAATTAAATGGTATGATAGAATGGGTAATGTAGAGCTAAACACGTTTCACTGGTCCAAGAGGTGAAGAAAAGGCACTGGTTTTCGTTAAGACACGTTGAGAAAACCAGACAACAATATAACTAGAATTTCTGTCCACTGGAACCCACAGGGGCTTGAAATACAGACGGACAAAAGAACACATAAAGGAGGGGACTAGAGAGTCAAGTTAAAAAGATGGGGGAGAGCTACATGCGATAGTGAAGGGTGGAAGGACTTCCATTGGGGGATAGAAGGCAGAAGAAGAAGGTTTGTGTCTGTATGTATGTGTGTGTGTGTGTGTTTATGTTTGTATAGACACACACACCTACACATATGAGAGGGGGGCGGGGAGAGAGAAGACATATAAATAGATAATAAAGATATATTGTGACAGTGCCTCACCGGAACAATTTCATTCTATTGTCCACAGGCCTGACAGCACCGACAGCATTCAGCAACCATGCCTACACACACCAGGGCTACTACCCTATGCAGCCAGTGTACCAGCCGTCTCATGGCTCTGTCTATTCCTACACCAAAGACACATTCTCTCAAATACCTGGCAGTGCCTCTTACCAGCCCTCACAGCATCGATCATACACACCCACCAGTAGTAAGTCAGGGAAATCAAACAGGTCCAATAACAGTACCAGTGTTACTTACAGCCAGGGCACCGAGAAACTGTCTTTGCCAGTTAATCTTTGACATTGACTTTCTGGGCATGGAAGTGTGTCAGCAAAATTGCCAGTTTGACTTCTGCAGCAGGAGTTATTACTGCTGCCCTGCTAAAATTCCAAGCCACACATCAGAACAAATAAGACATTTCACTTTCATGCATGGATGTGGAAGGCACTGGAAAACTACCACACTGGTTTCTTCAGAATATGTTTATGGTGGAGTGGCATGTTGGAATACTTTGTACTAGTCTTTTGAATGATTGGTCTGGCAGCTGTTCTTATGGAAAAGCAGAGAGAGGTACGAAATACCTGGCTTGAAGAGTCCTACATGAATTTAAAAGTCATCTTCATGGTGAGGTGGTAGTTGGTCTGCCTGCTGCTCCAGTAGCTCATGGTTCATGTCCATGTGAAATCTCACTGGCCTGGATGTGGTTTTATACCAAAAATAGTAAACAAGACTGTACTGTACCTTCTGTGCTATGGGGAAAAGAGAAAAGACTGCACAAGACAGTGATGGTGAGGTACCTCAGTATTAAAGAGTGTAAATGGTGCTGAGGTGCCTCTATATCCTAAGATACACTACACTGGATCAGTTTATCCATCTTTTTAGTGTATGAAAGAGTGACTTGCGTGATGAATTGGTTTAATGTGAAGATGAGTTGCGCAACTTCATCGACCTTACTCTCTCACCTGTGTCCATCTGGATCCAGTAGCAGGACAAGTCAAGATGACTGGAGATGAAGTCAGGTACAGTGGATGACTGGCGATGAAGTCAGGTACAGTGGATGACCAGGGTATTCTATGTTCACTGTGCTCTTTGAGAGCTGCACAACCTGTTGATGGTATTGATTTTCTCTGCTTATTCAGCCAAGTCTTTGCATGCTTGGATAGGCAGATGAAATCCTATGATATATATTAACTACACCCAAGCATGAACAAGCAAGGACTTCACAACAATGTGAGGTGCATCAGAAGTTCAGGGTATACAAGATGGTGTGGAACCTCTGCATCAAAAGGTGAAAGAGAACAGACTCAACAAGACAGCCATGTTTCTCTGTATTCAAGGGTAGAGAACTAAACACTAAATAATATGACTGAAGAAGATGTTAATTAAAAACGTTTCAGCATTGAATTAAAATGAATTTAAATACAATCGTCACCTCATTCAAGTGGTATGGGAGCCACCCTGATGTAGCAGCTAAAGGCTCGCCTGCAGACCTAGCCTTGAGTGGGTGCCCAGTGAAGTCATGGGAAGTAAAGGCGGGCACCATGATGATGACCACATCATCTACCAAATGCTGATTGGTCTATAAAATATCAATCTAGCCATATTTGCCCAATACACATCAAGGCTTAGAAAAGGGACCTTTACTTGACTAAAGTCATAAGTAAGATTGACTTCTACAGGTGAATCGCGTCAGGTGGGATATATGATTTTTCTGTAGCACTCAACGCCAATAATGTGAAATTATGTCATAGATATCTGAGATAAATGAGATTTCCGTCCACGAATGAGAGATGAGATTTGCTGCAGCACTGAGTTCCATGATATGAGATATTCTGATATAAAGGATTTTGCAGTTTATGTGGACAAATACTCATGAAAAATGAGATTTGCTCAACAAAGTCAGGAAAATAAGGTTGACAGGCACAGCACTGTTTAGATAAACAAAATAAATTTACTGGGGATAATTCAGGACTAAAAAAAACAACAATGAAATAAATTGTCTAGACTTGCTTACTGATACACCAGATACATCAGATACATCAGATACACCAGATACATCAGATACACTAGATACACCAGATACATCAGATACACCAGATACACCAGATACACCAGATACACCAGATACATCAGATACACCAGATACATCAGATACACCAGATACACCAGATACACCAGATACATCAGATACATCAGATACACCAGATACATCAGATACACCAGATACATCAGATACACCAGATACACCAGACACATCAGATACATCAGATACATCAGATACATCAGATACACCAGATACACCAGATACATCAGATACACCAGATACATCAGATACATCAGATACACCAGATACATCATATACACCAGATACATCAGATACACCAGATACATCAGATACACCAGATACATCTGATACACCAGATACACCAGATACATCAGATACACCAGATACACCAGATACATCAGATACACCAGATACACCAGATACATCAGATACACCAGATACACCAGATACACCAGATACATCAGATACATCAGATACACCAGATACACCAGATACATCAGATACACCAGATACACCAGATACATCAGATACACCAGATACACCAGATACATCAGATACACCAGATACATCAGATACATCAGATACACCAGATACACCAGATACATCAAGGCAATTTCTATAAACTCCAGATGGAGAAAATGTATTATTTAATTTTTACAGTTATAGATTTTTATTGTCATCTGCAGCTCCAGATTTATAAAATAAAAATTTAAAAATTATTGTTGTGTACAGTTTTAGGTACAGAAGATTGTTATCCATTTTTGATAAAGATAAACCAGAAAAAAAAAATAATACCAAGATAAGTCGGATGATAGGGTGAGATCTCCTTGGAACATAGACAAGTTAGCAGTTATACCTGTTTAGAACATTCATTCTGCCTACAAATAAGCGAGATCTGTAAAACGGATGTGCACACAACACTCAGGTTCTGGAACAAGACTTAAGTCCAGAGGTGGACAAAATGACTAGAAAGTTCCTCTGGAGTTACAACTGGTGAATGTGAAGAATAAGAACAACATAAAACAACAGATTTAAAATAAAAAAAAGATTAACCAGCATAATTGTCCAATATTGACATTTTGAACAGACACAGCCCAACGAACTGTGAGAGGAAACACTGTTAACAATTCGACACAACGCCTAACTGAACATCAGTCGTCTATGCCTTCAGCTTTTGTATTTTAGATTACAACGTTTTTCAGATTATCATCATCATCATCACTGCCACCACGCAATGCTAACCTTGTGCTGTTTTATCACAATGCCCTCCATTTCCTCTCTTCTCATTGTATCACCATTACTTTTTTCAAAAAGAAAATGACCTACAAAGAGAAGAGATAACCTGCATCACAACCAGCCAATCCACATTATTGTGGCGCATCATTGTGAGAAAGGAAAAACTAGAGAATGTTGTGACAAGAGAACAATTTTAAGGGAAAAGATACTGAGGGGGACCAAGAGGAAGGATGTTGTGACAAGAGAAAAGTTTTAAGGGAAAAGATACAGAGAGAGACCAAGAGGAAGAATGTTGTGACAAGAGAAAAGTTTTTAGGGAAAAGATACAGAGGGAGACCAAGAGGAAGGATGTTGTGACAAGAGAAAAGTTTTAAGGGAAAAGATACAGAGAGAGACCAAGAGGAAGGATGTTGTGACAAGAGAAAAGTTTTAAGGGAAAAGATAAAGAAAGAGACCAAGAGGAAGGATGTTGTGACAAGAGAAAAGTTTTAAGGGAAAAGATACAGAGGGAGACCATGAGGAAGGATGTTGTGACAAGAGAAAAGTTTTATGGGAACAGATACAGAGGGAGATCAAGAGGAAGGATGTTGTGACAAGAGAAAAGTTTTAAGGGAACAGATACAGAGAGAGACCAAGAGGAAGGATGTTGTGACAAGAGAAAAGTTTTAAGGGAAAAGATACCGAGGGGGACCAAGAGGAAGGATGTTGTGACAAGAGAAAAGTTTTAAGGGAAAAGATATCGAGGGAGACCAAGAGGAAGGATGTTGTGACAAGAGAAAAGTTTTAAGGGAACAGATACAGAGGGAGATCAAGAGGAAGGATTTTAGAGAGTTTAGCATCAGTTTATTGAAGAATACCTGTATTGAATTGGTTTGCTCCATGTATGTATCTTGGGAACCAATTGTTGGGGAGAAAAAGAACAGACCCATTGCCCCCAACAAGTGTGCCATAAAAGTCTATTAACTAGCAGTGTTTCCTTCAAAGTGCATCTGCCTGAGAAACCAACATTCTGCATACTAAATAAGCTAGATCTTTAAAATGAAAGTGCATGCAAAACTCAAATTCTGGAACAAGACCAGAGTCCAGAAGTGGATAAACAACCATAACATTCCACCGGAGTTTACAGCCAGTGTACAGATGATGACCACAGCTACTCCGCATGGACTGTAAGGAGAGTAAGACATTAGCAGTCACAGATCTGCAGTTGCTGTCTTGAGACTCATTTTTTATTCTACTATTCTGTATCTTGATTGTATTTTGAGATCTGTCAGTTCATGTGATGTGTTTGACAAGCGTGCAGTAGGGCAGGGCAACACAGTTCCCTTAAAGATTTTATCTGGTAACTGGTTGTACGTCACAATGTCCATGCTAGCCTATGTTAGAGATGTTTCCTTGTGACTGTCTACTGTGACCTGTATACGGTGACTGTCTACTGTGACTTGTCTGCTGTGACTTGTCTGCTGTGACTGTCTACTGTGACTTGTCTACGGTGACTTGTCTACGGTGACTGTCTACTGTGACTTGTCTACTGTGACTTGCCTACTGTGACTTGCCTACTGTGACATGTCTACGATGACTTGTCTACGGTGACTGTCTACTGTGACTTGTCTACTGTGACTTGTCTACTGTGACTTGTCTACTGTGACTTGTCTACTGTGGCTTGTCTACTGTGGCTTGTCTACTGTGACATGTCTACTGTGACTTGTTTACTGTGACTTGTCTACTGTGACTTGTCTACTGTGACCTGTCTACTGTGACCTGTCTACTCTGACCTGTCTACTCTGACCTGCCAACTGTGACTTGCCTACTGTGACATGCCTACGGTGACTGTCTGCGGTGACTCGTCTGCGGTGACTCGTCTGCGGTGACTTGTCTACTGTGACTTGTGACTTGTCTACTGTGACCTGTCTACTGTGACCTGCCTACTGTGACCTGTCTATGGTGACCTGTCTATGGTGACCTGTCTATGGTGACATGTCTATGGTGACTTGTCTGCTGT